CCCCAAGGACCATCATACTCAATCAGACCATCACCTATTTAAAAGCATCTTTTCTCTTTTTTTTTTTTTGAAATTTTAGGATTGGTACAATTTCTCATTCACAAGTAACAATATCTTCATTGCAAAGTAAAGAACAAGATTGATAATAGAGATGTCAACTTCATCCATGAGTTACTACCATACCATGACTAGGAGATTTTGATAGCATTGAAAGCTCCCCATTATCCATTCAAGTTGATGGCTTCTCCATTTGAAACATATAATCAATCTTACACACTCTATATCCGGGGTCACTGCCATCGATGTCTATTTATTTTTTGCTATGCTGCCCATCAGTGTCTCTTTTGCTGTAAAATATGTTTTGATGAAATCAAAATAAAGAAGCATTAGTTATTGAATTGCCTGAAAGCCGAGCACAACAATTACTCATCAGTTGAGTCAACCAGGTGAAAGACCAAAAGTATCCTCGTTTCTATTCCACATTGCCTTTTCTTTCTTGACCACCATATCCCCGTTATGGACTTCCCCCTCCCTATCATTGTATGTTGCTTCTTTATTACGTCTCTGGACTATGCTCCCTACCCACCAGTTATTCCCTCAAGGGCAAAGAAAGACGAAAGCCACATACAAAGGCCATTTGCGAACAAGGCATTCTACCCCAAACCTCTTACTCTCCACAAACAACCTTCCTGTTGTCAGAAGTCAAAAACTAACTTCCCCTTATTAATCTTACATCAAAATTCTGCCATCCTAACAGCACATACATATGAGATGCCAGGAGCTTGGGTTCATTTTTTAAGATAAATAATTATATCTAAAAGTTTTAATTATTCACCCTGATTACACATTACTTTTGAATTGCCCATTGCATATGTAATGAAATATATGCATAATTGTTTCTACAAAACTCCTACTGGTTCTTATCAATTGATCTTATCACTGTTAATCCAGTTTCTGGAATGGTGTTGAGGTGCATTTAACTTATTTATAGAACCATCTTGAAAGATTAGGGCCCTCAATTTCCTTATGTAAGACAGTTCAAGTCAAGAAAGCTTGAGTAGGTTATGGATCAAGTACGATATTATGGACCCCAGGCAATTGCTTATTTTTTACTGTTGAGTCAGCTAGTGTAAACAGGAAAGAATCTAACAACTGATAGTTAATTCCTTCCTTATCATTCTTTTTCGTTACTTTCTTTAGTGCCTTTAAACCTTTCCAAAGTAATTTAGGTTTTAGACTTCTGTAGAGTATGACCTCCTGTCATTTTTATTGGAATATCCGAATGCATGGTTCATAGCTCCATTAGAATCACCAGTCTGATAGACTTGCTATGAGTTTGAATTAGTTCCCATTACTGGTCTGCAAGCTGGTGCCAATTGGAGGGAAGGCCTGTCTTTAATATCAAATTACTCAATTTATAAGATAAGCTTCATGTATGCCTATCCTAGAATGCAGAAATGCTGCCGAGATGCTTCCAGGGCAACATTTACTGCTTTGGTTGAATGGGTGGCCTCTTTGAACTGAGCATGTGCTGGATCAGGCTATAAATCTGGGAAGGATGCTATTGAGAACATTCCTCTGCCATTGGTGTGATGTGTACACTGATTATTTTCTTGATTATCGCTGTATTCTTTCTTGTTGAAGATTCATTTCGACAAAATTTATCAATAAATTCTGCTACTGATAAAAAAAAAAGAATATTTTTTCAAGGTTTCAATGGTTGATTATTTTAACTTGTTGGGGCTCTGTCTGTGAGCGCATTTCAGCTAGGATTGATAAAATATAAAATCATTTAACTAAGTCAGTATGAGCATTAGCTTGTCTTTTGGCATTTTCCTCTTACCATCGACTTATTGAAATGAATGGGAATGCATTTTTCTGCAACTCTGCTGTGAACTCAGAAACCAATGAAGATGTTGCTATCAAGAAAATAGGTAATGCCTCTGATAATAGAATCGATGCCAAAAGGACTCTAAGAGAAATGAAGCTCCTTCTTCATATGGATCATGAAAATATAAGTTCAAATGATGTACCGTTAGCCATTAAATAATTTGCTAGCAAAATGCTGCCAACAAGCTTCAGAAGGGCCCTATTTTCATTTGTAATTTCTGTTTTTCGTAAGATTTTTCTGTGAATATTTATGTCATTCCTGTTTTCTGTGTTTGGTCTTTTTGATCCTTTCTCCTGTTGCTCTCCCGAGATATGAAATCTTGTATATTTTTGGATTGGATGTCTTGGGAGGACAACAAGAGAAATGATCAAAGTAGTAAAACATGGAAGCCAGATGTATGATGTCATTTTTCTTTTGTCGGTGCTCGTTGCATTGTAGTGTTACATCTATTGATGAAAATGATTGATACCAATATCTGCTCGACCTTGCCTAGTGAGCCTTGGATTGTGTTCGACATCAACAATTCCCCATTGTTGGGTTGTCCCAGAGTTGTTCTTATTTAGCTGTGATATTTTGTTTTAATTGAAGGAATTTTAATTTGTTTTTTTCACTATTTGTTATCAGGTTTTGCCTGGAGGTTATTTTAGTGTTTTCTACTTGTCTCCTATGTCAAACCACATAAATCTGGGACTATGCTAATCTGGCAAAGCAATTTCAATATTTGAGACTGTGGGCTAAATTCTCATAATGTTATAGCCAAGGGCCAACTCAGGCTTTAAGTGTAAACCTTCTCTCCAATGAGTTATTGGCTAGTTGTCCTTTCAATAGGATTCATATAGTTTTTTGTGTTGGCATGTTGCACATTTATCGTGCTCTGTTGTCTGGAAGGACAGAACTTACGTGAGGGATCAATTGTAAATTTTCTTCATTTGTTGGGATTTAGGATTAGAGCAAGGGTTACCATTATTATTATTATTATTTTAGCAGTCACAACGGTAAATCCTCTAGCTACATGAGTGAATAGAATGCCATTCATCATATTTTTTCTATGGAAGAGTGTCCCAACTAAAAATTATCCTATTTTCCAGTTTTTGAAGTTTTTTTGGAGAAACAAAAACTCCTGTGTGTAACCCTTTATGTGTCATGCAGGTCATATATTTACTAACACGCTGTGGAGTGTTTGTTCTCTCAGAGTCTGTGTATCTGATTAGGGATGGTAAATATTTACGGATTATCGTTATTGTTGTTATTGTAACTGATTAGACTCTTCTGTGTTTTTCAGAAAGGTATGAGGGGGAATTGCAAGCAAGTGTTGTAGCAGACTATTTTTGTGATTCCTTTTATTTTTGAGTGTGATCTGATCCAACAACTCTTCTTCCTTTTTGGGCTAGTAACTTTGAATATTCTTAATTGATGGAAATGCATCCTACCCAAAAAAGATCAAGGATGGCTAGCTTTGGTTGTTTGGAAGACAAAGATACAGCTGTTGTCACATTAATTCTTATTTGACCTGATTTTGAAAAGAATTATAAAGAATGGTTGATAAACAATATGCAAAATGTTTCGTGGTCTGTGGAGACTGGTGCATGAACTGCTCAAATTTGATCCTTCACAAAAATTACCAATATTGGTCTGAATTTCTTGGAGAGAGTATACTGACAGGCAAAGGCTGCCTGGTTTTTTCAGCTGGTGCAAGAGTTGTAATTTATGTAAGATTTTTTATGCTTAGGAAATGATGAATCGACCATTTTGAATAGTGGCAGCTGACATGTTTCTAGCTTATTATTGTTGAAAGAAGTGGCTATGTAAAACTTTATATGGTATAAAATTTTTCTCTTTTTCTTTTATTAATATATCTGAATTCCACTTAGAAGTACCACAAAACAATGTTGTAAACAAGAAATAAAACCCTAAATACAAGCTAGGATCTTCTCTTTTTACTGCTGAATAAATATGACTCAATCTAGGATTGTAACAATCCCTAACTGTAAATTCTAATACAAACAATGTTCCTGGAAATTGCAATAAATTGAATAATATTGATAAAAAATAAACTAAAAACAGCCAGGGAGACTTACTTGACTTTACCTGGGGTCACCCCCTTAGGACTTCATTCACCCCATACCCAATTACCTGACCTATGACGCACTCTTGATCCTATTGGCCCTGCTGTATTCTCTATGTCGGGAAACTGCTGGGCAATAATTTTTTGATATATAGGCTTTCTGAGGCTTAAAACAAATTAGGGTTGTACTAGACCCTTTTGGACCTATCTAGAGCATGCCACAAGTGGCACCTCCCTTGGTCCTATTTAGGGCTTGGCTTGGCCCTTTTATCTATCCTATGGGTCCCCAAGCTCTTTAGCATAGTGTGTGTGAAAGCAGTGGCTTGGTGGAATTCAAGGGAGTAAAATTAAAAAAAATTCTCTTTTCATTTGTTTTATTTATGTATCTGAATTCCACTGACAAATGCTACACAATACTGCCAAATAGAATAGACACATTCCAGGATTGAAAAACACGCCTTGACTATAAATTTTAATACAAATAATGTTCTTGAAAACTCCAATAAACAAGCAAAGATTCCCAAACAGCCAAGAAGACTTATTTGAATTTGCCTAGGGTCATCCCCTTAGGACTTAGTATATCCCACACCCAATTTCTTGATCTATAGCGCACTCTGATCCTATTGGCCCTACTGAATTTTTTGAGATGGGATGCTTCCTTAGGCAATACCTCATATATTTAGAACATGAACAAGATTAGGGTTTCTAGACCCTTTTTAGACCTCTATAGGGCATGCCCTGAAAGGCACCTCTCTTAGTGGGCTGGGCGTGCCCCTCTTTGCTGTCTTTGAGTGGCATGCCGCCCCTAGTAGCCTAGGGTGGTGTGCACCACCCTTTAATGACTAATGCGAGAGCGAGAGAGAGGCATGGAGGAGAGAGAATAAAAGAGAGAGTAGCTAGAATGTGGTGAATAAGAGTGAGCGGGTTCCCCTCCTTATATAGGCTTCAAGGGCAAGACACAAGCACATATTACTATGGTGCAAGGGAAACTATCTCTATGCACATGTACATGTATCCCTTTTTAGGGTTTCTTCTTGATAATGAGCGGGTTCTCCTCCTTATACAGGCCTCAAGAACAAGACCTAAGCATATATCACTATACTACAAGGGAGACTCTCTCTATGCATATGTACATGTATCCCTTTTTAGGGTTGCTTCTTAGTAATGCGGCTGTCATATGTGTATGTTGTTTAGAAGTTCTTTGAGGATTTCACCCTTGCTCTCATAGGCCTATATCCGTCCATAAGGGACCATGAGGCTCTCTTGGCCTACAAACCATCCCTTGGCATCTCTCTAACCTCAACAACTGATGACCTCTGAAAACCCTCTTTAGTAGTGCTATATGCCCAGAGGTAAGGGTTTTGGACACGACCACGGCCATAGACCGCTCGACCTGATGAAGGGAAAAATTATTCTTATTTTTTATCTTTATTCAACTTTAAAGGATACATTTTATAGTTTTAATTTTAGGGTTTATTTCTAGAATTTTTAGTTTTTTAGGGATTTTAGGGTTTTAATTCTTTTTATTTACTTCATAAGTACTATTTACGATTAATCTTCACAGCGGTAAAGCTATTATTGTAAAATTTAAGTTTAAGTTAGAATATATAGGCCATTTTAATCCTTGTATGAATATATAATGTCTTTGAATATTGAATTATAATACATAATAGGTGTGTGGGGTCTTGAGAGGGTTAATTCCACATATTTTTAGAAATTGAAAGAGATAAAAGCTTGGGGTATGGAGAAAAAACCCCGACGTTTATTTGTATTATGCATGTATTTAGCTTTGTTTCTTGCTGATTTTATTATTCCCGCAAATTTTCTTGCATCAAATTGGTATCAGAGCTCACGATCTACACGGAAAGTATTGTAATTGTGTATGGAAGTACTCAAATTGGTATTGGAGTTTTTATTTTTATACAGATCATATCGAAAATTAGCAAGATGAAGATTGGGATCTGTCACCATTCTTTGACGCATACTTAGATGAAGAAAAAGATCTTGTAAGAGATCCTATCTTCTATGATGATCAAGATTTTCTGGTTGAATTGGTATTTCACAACGAAAAAGATGAAGGACTTAAAGGAGAATTGATAGGTGAAGTTGTTGGTTTAGTCACTGATCTCAAAGATGCACCTGTGGTGTTTTCTAGAGCTGAGTCTAGTCAAATTCAGCTGGATCACATGGCTGAAGTGATGCAATTTCAACAAATTTATGTGATTAAAAATATTCTATTGACATACAATGACCCTTCCCTCGAGGGTTTCTTAGTTCTAATGCACAATCACTGTGTTTTGATTAGTGCAATAACCTACAAGTCCCAAGATCATGTTTACAATATTCAAGTTGAAGAATGTTGCCGGACTAGCACCAATTTCATATTAGCACACTTCAAAACTCGAAGACGAGTTTTCTCCAATTAGGAGTGAATGATGAGGGGATTATAGTTTTAGTTTTAGGGTTTATTTCGAGGGATTCTAGGGCTTTTATTTTTTTATTTACTCCATAAGTACTATTCACGAATACTGTTCACAGGTATTGTTCATAGGGGTAAACTTCTCTATATATAGATTCTACGGCTTTTATTTTTTTATTTACTTTATAAGTACTATTCACGAATACTGTTCATGGGTATTGTTCATAGGGGTAAACTTCTCTATATATAGACCATTTTTTTTTTTTTGGATAAACGTTAACATATATAGACCATTTTAATCATTGTATGGACATGTAATGTATTCGAGCACTGAATTATAATATATATGAGGTGTGTGGGGTCTTGAGAGGGTCAATTCCAAATAATTTTAGAAATTGAAAGAGAGAAAAGCTTGGGCTTTTGGAACCCTAACTTGGGGTATGGGCAAGAAGCCTTAGGTTTATTTGAATTATACTGTTTAGCTTTGTTTCTTGTTGATTTAAATGTTCCTTCAAATTTTCCTGCGTCACAACCCTAGGTCAGACAGCCAACACACAAACTCCCTGTGAAGTGTATAATCCACTATAATTCTTTATTTTTCATGTTCTCACAGGCTTTAAAGGCCAAAACCCCAACAATTGTAACTTTGAAAATTGGTTTATGGGCTTATCTTTCGCAGTCTATAATGTGAATGCATCAGAATTTCTCCACATTGGTCATCTCTTCCATCAATGAGGAAACTCTTACGTTAATCTTCTATGGTGACACCACAAGCTTAAACTTTAGCAACTTAGTCTCAGTTCTAGTCTCCTCTATGATGCATGTGAATTGTGGCTTTGACATATTTTAAAATGTGATGTAACTGTTGAAAGAAATTTGGATACATAGAACCTCTTGTCCTCAGAAGACAAAGAAATTTAGGATAAGAGGTCCTAGTGCAGATAAGTGACAGGTTGTGTCATGTTGAAGCCACTACATAACATCCTATGCTATATTTTGTGCACCTACCATCCTATTGCTTTTACTTGAAACTTTCCAGCCTTATCTGCTTCTCGTTAGGTAATCTTTCTTCCTATATCTTGTTAACGGACATTTCTGAGACCTTTACCTTAAGTTGTCTATATCAAGACGCCACTTTGTTATCTGCTGCTGTTGGTTATATGATTATATCTTTTCTATAACCAAATTGACAATTTAGTCATTCATCCTAAAGATTCTGATTCTATTTCAAATGTGATTCATGTCTGATATGTCTACGAATCTAATTTTCCCAGGGGAGCTTGTTGACTGGAATTCTGTTGTTATTTCTAGGTCTGGTGCATCCTAGCTGATTAGGAACAATGGTGAGGTTGGCAGGCTATTCTACATCTTTTGTGCATCATCTTAAAATTTTTTTTTTTGTTGTTGTTGATCTTTTTTCGATTGTTTCTCAAGAAGCAAATCATCCATGGAACTATGCATCGACTTTTGGGGTGTCAAAGCTCTATGTGGCTTTGTTATTTGTCGTTTTAAGGTTTATTCAAGCCTTCTCTTTGTATTCTTTAGTAATCATTGGGACACTATAATTTATTGCTTTGGGTGAATTTGTTGGGGAGGGCTGGTTAAAATCAATAAACTATAAGTAAAACAAAGAAAATTTTATGTTCATAATGAAAATAATCATATTCTGGATCACCATTATAACCTTGTCATCTTTAAAAGATGAACATCTAAATTGACTACGTCAAGAGGGAGGGCGTGAGAGAATAGATGGCTGGGTTTGGGTTTGGGTTTGGTTGGGGGAGGGAGCACAGATTGACTCGGTGGTAATTTTCAGGAAGTTGGTTTTAGTAGTTCTTTTGACTAATAGTATCATATGGCTGAAATTTTATTTCCTTAAAAAATGAATTTTTTTTTTTTTGAAGTTCTCTCACTTACATTGCTGAAGAAATCGAAGTCTTTTCAAAAAATTGGTTTGAATTGGGGTATTTCTACCTATGTCTTCTACAATTGGTAGATTTTTCTTGAATCAAGGCACAATTCATAAATGATCTTGTTCTTCCCTAAGTGGCAAAGATCAACTTGAAATAGATGCTCAAATAATTAGTTATGGATGTACTACCACTACATAAGCTGGAACGGTTTAGGATTCTTAGTAGTTGTTGAGATCTTTTAATATTTATATTTTGTGTGGAGCCCACTACAACAGGTTACCCTTCTTGTGCTACAGATTATTGCCATCAAAGATATCATTCGATAGAGAAAATTTCAACGATGTTCTATATCATTCGTCCACCTGATAGGGAACCTTTCAACGATGTTCTATATTGTGTATGAGTTAATGGATACAGATCTTCATCAGATAATACGCTCTAAACAACCTTTGACAGATGATCATTGCAAGGTATGTATTGGTGCTTGCATGTCAATCATTGTGTATTCTTTATATGCATGTAACCTTTTAAGTTCTAATTAATTGCTTTCCACATGTAGGCTTTTTTATGACCAATTGCATGTGCTTTTATGTGCAGACATTAAATACGTACATATGTGTGTATCAGTTTGTCTCATATCTCTCTCTCTCTCTCTCTCTCTCTCAGAGGGTGTGTGTGTGTGTGTGCCTGTGCCCTCTGTATGCATACTTCCTTGAAGACTAATCTTCAATATGATGATCATGATTATCATTGGTCATTGGCTCAATAATACTCAATTTAATTATTTTGAACATTCAAACAAGGTGATAGAGCTGTGTTTATACCTTGTATCTGTTGAATATACATGCTAATTCATGGTTTAAAAGTTCTTATAACCTGCAGACCTCATTCAATATGTCATGGGGATCTGTTCACCGCATCAAAGGGAACTCAAGTTAATTTATTCTTGGTGTTACTTTACTATCCTATTGGGGGATTCATGCTTGTGACCATCATCTTGCATGATTTTAATAATTAGTGAGGAAGACCCTATTGGCCTCAACCCCAAGTTTTTTTCGTTGTTTTGGATGTAATCTGCTCTCACTTTTGAGCAAGAAAATATCTTCCATTGAATTTATTTCAAAGTCTTGAGGCCAGTTGATCGGCTGCAAGACATTGAATTCTATGTCTAAATGTTTTTTGGGTTCTCTTATATGCCTCACACGGTCTCTCCACTATTGCCACCTTAGAAATGCACTTGCGTCTTACTTTTTACATCTTTGCCTCCGACAACCTAGTTCTACCTCACCATTGTGTACATCTGTTCCCACTCTTCTTTCCCTTCTGTTCTCTGTATCATGTTCGATATAATGCCCCTAAAATTTACCTGAGTTTGAAGTTTGTATCATGAACCTCATATTTTCAAAATTCCTTGTTCTTTTTATTTTTCCTTCATCCTCTTGAGATTGTTTTTTTGTCAAATTTTAGCTCCATCTTTTCACAGCTGCTTTCTAAATACTATTGTGTTGGACAAACTTCTTAAATGTGCAGTATCTAATTCATTATTTGATGAACTTGCATAATTGTGCTTATGATACTTGCATATTCATGCAGTATTTTCTATATCAATTGCTGCGAGGGCTGAAATATATACACTCAGCCAACGTTCTTAACCGTGACTTAAAGCCCAGCAATTTGCTTCTAAATTCCAACTGTGACCTTAAGATACGTGACTTTGGACTTGCACGGATTACATCAGAAACGAATTTCATGACAGAGTATGTTGTCACTCGATGGTACCGAGCACCAGAATTGCTCCTAAGTTGTTTAGAGTACACTGCTGCTATTGATGTTTGGTCTGTTGGATGTACATTCATTGAAGCAGTCATACGGGAACCTCTGTTTCCTGGTAAAGACTATGTTCAACAACTGAGGCTTATCACTGAGGTTTCTTTGAAAAATTGTGCTGCTTTCCAGTTTTTAGAGGGAAATACTTGGTTCAAAGAATTATGGTTGGAGTTCAGTAATCTCATGAGTTGTTATCGCTTTTCTGAATTTTAGTTTAATGAGAGCCAGCCTTTGTTCTTTGAATAGTTCCTAGGTACACCAAGTGACTCGAGCCTTGGGTTTCTACGAAGTGATAATGCGTGCAGATAT